TTAACCCTGAAAAAAACTGTCTCATTCCCTTAATAATGGGGGGGGGGAGGGGGAGGGGATATGCACTCCTATGCTGTGACATTCTTTTGAATAATTTCATTATTCAGGTTAATATTTAAAGATGACTAAGCAGCAAAAACTGGCCTCTGACTTTGTGACAACAATTTTGCTTTAGACTATACAGCAAATCTGCTAGGAATGAACACTTCCTAAATACTGCCACAAGAATAAGAGTAGATGATCCAGGGTGATCCAGAACGTCTGATGTGCAGTCATGACTTGCTCAAGAGTCAGGCGTTTGTGAAAGCATCAGGGATTATCTTTAGACAGTTTCCAAGAGTGAGATACGCTACCAACTCCCCAAGAGTTTGCAGCAGGGCAGGCAGCCAAACCAGCATGGTGCAGCACAGCACGGCCAAGTTCTCCAGCCTTACATGCTGCTCAGTTCTAGGGCATAGGGGAAAATACAGTCTGTAGCTACCCTGTATCCTCAAGCAGGTGATGAACCCACAGTCTTACAGCTCTTCACATCAAGAAGGCACCCATCCTCTTTCTTGCCTTCAGTGAGAGCTACACACCCACACCTTCTGTTGCTAGCAATAGGAGATGTGCAAGCAGAGACAGAGCCCTGATGAATTCACTGCACATCACAACACTACTCAGCTCTAGTACAATGTAAGCTACTAATACTGCTGGTCTGTTAGCTGGCATTTCAGTGTCCTGGCTCCAGCCTGTGTTTGAGATGGGTTTGCTCACTGGGGTGATAGTGGGCATAGCGATACAGATCCCGGAGTGACTCAGTTCAGCGCTGTCTGCACTGGCCTCTGGAGATTTGACAGTCAGATCTCTCTTGGGCTTGAGTTCCTATGGCTTCTCCTCCAGGCTGGTGGCAAAGCTCTCAGCCACCACTGACACCATGCTAGCTCTCATGGCAGGGACTCTTCTGGGAGTAAGCACACACAGTATCATAGAAGCATAGGGTCATTAAGGTTGGAAAAGACCTCTAAGATCATCGAGTCCAACCATCAACCCAACACCACCATGCCCACTAAACCATGTCCCTAAGCACCTCATCTACCCATCTTTTAAATACTTCCAGGGATGGTGACTCAACCACCTCCCTGGGCAGCCTGTTCCAATGTTTAACCACTCAACCAGTACGTACATTTCTCAGCATTGTCACACAGTCCTGACCCTCAGATCACTGGTCACAGCACCTTAAACCACAAATTACTTGGTTCCTTAAACACCTCCTAATGCTGATGGGATTCTATTATCTGCCATGGAGTTCTCTATTACTATCCCATACTGACCCTGCAGCTTCATTTTCCTTCACTGCCACCATCCAGTCTTTCTTCCTGCTGTGGGTTTCTGATCACAATTCTTCTCTCTAGTATCGCACCATGCATCATACTTCATTTCACTCGCTAGAGCTGCATAACTATAGCCTGCTATCAGAAGAATTCATGCAGTGTGAGAGGATTTTCATGAGCTTGCTCCACTGATGGCTGCAAGAGAGATTGCTGCCAGCTGAGGATACCTTACCTATAGAGCCTGGCAGATTTCCAGGCCCTTTGTTCCCTCAATACAGAGGGATCAAGTGTGCTGCATCTCCTGATAGCAATGGTGATTCTGGTGCAGTCAAGATAAAGCTGGTAAATCAAGGAGTCTTTTTTCCTGCTCTCATGAGTAAACAAGACACTGAGTATTTTGGTGCTGCTGGCATGAATGTGATGTCAATTCAAAGGCAAAGGCTGCTCAGCCCTTTGCAGCTGTCCAGGGTAAATGAGAGCAGCTGCTTGCTCCTGCTGCACGATGCTTTCCGTTTCATCTCAGCTGCAGGACTCCAGCAGACATCAAAGCTAGCAGTATTCTGTATCAGTCCCTCCCCCTTACAAAGGAAAACAAGTCTTATCCTAATGAACCAGAAGGGGACATATGGTTATTTTTCCTTTTTAAAAAAGTTGCTTGCTGTTGACTACCCATCACACTCACCTTAGCCTGCAGAGCCAGGATGCTGTTAACATTTAGCTCTGTAGAACACACGCACATGCAGCTTTAATTTCTACAAAACAGACACATATCTGTTGATCTATATTTTACCAGCTATAGCCCTGCATGCCATATTTGGTCTCCCTGTCTTCTGAAGGAAAGCACTCTGGGGATGGGATGCACTTGTTTCATCTACAAAACGTGTAAGGG